AGAGAGAGAGAGAGAGAGGAAGGTGACGTTGAGAGAGCAAGCCCAAATAAGCAACTGTACTTTAGAAACAACCCCAAAGTCGCAGCTAATAAGCGGACCTGGCAAGTGGCAACCCTGCGGCTTGTCCTCCTCACATTTCTTCCATCCTCCTGCGTGCTGACGTATCCCACCTCTCATTGGCTGATGCTCTTTGTCAGTCGTGTCACACTTGTCCATTTTTCTAGCATACCAGATATCCAGTCCCCATCACAGACAAGGGGGGTGACTTGCTCATAGGCTTGTTCACACATGAGGACTCGTCGTGGCAGACTACCTGCTGACTCACCTCTGACCCAAAGTGGCTCTCAAGATCCTCTGTGACATCAAAATCGCGGTGAAAACCGTGTATTGTGAACTAGGCTTTAGTTGCATCTCTGTCAACGCCAGAGTATACACATCACTTGCCAACAGCGACCTTTTTCCGGACCAGGCTAAAATAATTAAGTTTGCTACAATGTACCATTTCTGGACTCTCTTTCTTCATCTGTTGTTGAATGTACTGTAGGAAACAGACAGCGAGCTGTACTCAGCATGCCATTCCTGAGGTGTAACCGTTAATAGCAGTCCCTTCTCAATTCATTACACAGTGTGTACATAATTTACTACTCATAAATATGTCCCATTGATCACAAGAGCTTGCACTAGACACTGCACTTCTCGGGTCCTAAGCAATGTAACTCTCAAGTGTGAAGTCCATCAGATGAACAGCTGGCGATTCAAGACAATAAAAAGGACAATTTAGTTAGATTACACAGCAATTTACAACTGTAATATTACAGAAACGGGATACCTATTTCTCCATGGAGCCTGTTAGCGGTAACTGATGGCAAAGCAGGCAGCCTTTAAAAATATCATGACACTTTGACACTGCTATGGGTAAAAACGCAGATTCACAGAGATCTACCAGAGCGAGAATTAGGAATGTCACTTTATTTGAAATTCGAACATTCATTCAATCTGTAATGACCTGTTGTAATTCAAAACAGTCTGTTTATTTACAATCTATAAGCAAACAGACCGTCTGAAATAGTTTCAAATTCCTTCAATCAAATTGTGTGTGATTATACATTTATTTGATTCAGATTTTTAGGAAAAGTGACAGCCCTAAGAGAAATGCTGCTAGCATTTCTAAGACATTTTATATCCTTAAATTTCCTTAAAAAACTAGCACAGCAGCAACAACAGGGTTATGAAAATCCTTTCATTGTTGACCTTAAATGATGTAGACATAACTCTTACTTGATTGTCTTTATCTTCACAAATTGTTTTGATAAGTACCTGTTTTCAGGATCATCATCGACATCATCTTCACAGACTTGAGAGACTTCCTCTTTATCGTCCTCTTTGTCTCCTACACAACAAAGTAGCACACAGACTTTGAATGAAGAGCACGAGAGTCACTGAAGGAAAAATTTGATATTCTGCAAAATATGCTTATTTGTTTTTTTGCCTTAAGTTGTCTGGCAAGACTCTAGGAAGTTACATTTTACACTTCAGTATTTCAACAAATGATATAACATATTCATCAGAGGTGCTAGTAGGCAAAGTTTGTAAACTTTGGACAGGACAGGCAAACTTTATTCTAAGCTTAGCTAACTGCCTGCTGGCTACAGCTACATATTTACAGTACAGAAACTGAGTGGTATCAATTTTCTCATCTGACTCTTACCAAGACAGCAATTAATTGCAGTTCCTGAAATGTTGAGGTTTTCCTATAACTCATGGACACCGAGCTGAGCTTTACTAAACACTCCTCTCTTCAAAGTCAAATTACCTGAGTACTGATGAAAAGGTCCACTACTTCCCACCACGTTATTCTCCACAATAGGTTTGATTGTTTGCTTGGCACTGTCCTCTCCTGAGTCATCTTCAGCCTGCTGCTCCTCTTCATCCCCACTGGAGGATGAATGCAGTTTGGAGGCTGCTTTGGAGCTACTTCCCTTACAGTTCTTTTCGTAAGAACTTCTCGTCTTGGCTCCTTTCCTCTCATGTGAGTTTCTGTCTTCCTCTTTTGCTTCATCTTGTTTCTTCACACGGCTAGATCTCCTCTGCTGTATGGCTACTTTACTCTTTTTCTCCGTCCCCTGGTCAGAGTCAGAGTCAGAGGAATCTGAGCCATTCTGTTTTTTCTTTTTACTTTTGTTATCCAAGTTTGAATCAGAGCTTTCAGACTTCCTCTTGCGTTTGGACACTTTGTCTTCATCCTTTGCAGACGTATTGTCTGGTTTGAATAAACACTTTTTAGCAGTTGTGCTTCCCTGTTCCTCATCTGTGCTGTGGCCTGCTGCAGCTTTCTCCAACAGTATGCTATGAATTTCATCTGAGTCAGACTCCATCATCCTTTTCTCTGAATCCTTGGTCTCCTCCTTATCCTTCTTGGACTCTGTATCAGAGCATTCTTCCTTGCCCTTGCTCTCAGCCTGGTTCCTCATGGGAGTGGTCTTGAATCTACTTGAGCAACGGCATGGTTGTGGGCTGTCTGTCCCACCTACAGCATCATCTTTTCCCTTCTCACATTTTCCCTCACACTTTTCAAGTGCCTCTCCATCTTTTTCTTTGTATTTGGACATGGAGGACCTTGACCCACCCATCGTCACAACTGGCACAGGACTCAGTTTGAGTAGGAGGTTCTTCACTTTGGGCCGGGTGGGTTGAGAGTCTGTTGACATTAGCTCATCATCATACACTGCAGTCTGTGTCGTCTTTTTGATTGCATCAGTTTCTATTTGGTTGTCTTTCTTTTCAGTCTCATCTGTCACTTGACTGTTGTCCACTTCCTGCTTATTATGCTGCTCCTTGTCAGACTCCTCCACTATGTCTGCATCCCCTGCTACAGCCTCCCTAACTGCGTCAGCCTCCTCTGTAACGTCAGCCTCCTCTGTAACGTTAGCCTCCTCTGTAACGTCAGCCTCCTCTACAGCGGCGGCCTCCTCTACAGCGCCAGCATCCTCTGCTACGTCAGCATGCACTGCTACGTCAGCCTCCTCTGCGTCCACTGCATTATCCATGTGGTCATTTTCTACATTAGTGCCCTTTCTCACTATGTGTTGCGCGTCTGCTAACTTTGACTCGGGGGACTCTTCCTTGTCCAGATTGTCAGCCTGCTTCTTCAAGGGAGTGGTCTTCAGTCTACTAGAGCAGTGGCTGGGTGGTGGGCTGTCTGCAGCATCAACGTTTACCTTCTCGCATTTATCTTCACACTGTTTTTTTATCTCTTCAGCTTTTTCTTTGTTTTCTGACATGGAGGACCCTAACCCATGCATGGTCACAACTGGCACAGGAGTCAGTTTGACTATGAGGTTCTTCATTTTGGGCTGGGTGGGTTGAGAGTTTAAGTTTTCATTTGACTTTATTTCAGCATCTTTGACTGAAATGGTATCTTCCTGTATGGGGGTGAAATCCTCAAGACCCTCCACCATCTGAAAAAGCTCATCAGGGACCGAAGGAGGTACAGACATAATGTCTTCATCAAGAAATGTTTCACCAGCTGACAGTAGGCCACCATCATATACTTCCATTTTCATTGTATTTTCGATTGCATCAGTTTCTGTTTGGATGACATTCATTTCAGCCTCATTATGCCCCTCCTTGACTGGTTCCTTTACTATGTCAGCCTCTCTTGCTGCATCAGCCTCACCTCCACATCCTGCCTCCTCTGCAACATCAGCCTCCTTTGCTGCATCAATCTCCTCTGCCACAGCAGGCTCTTCTGCTACACCAGCATCCTCTACTGTGGTAGCCTCCTCTGCTGCATCAGCCTCTTCTGCCACAGCAGCCTCCTCGGCTACATCAGCATCCTCTTCTGTGTTTGCCTCATTTGCTTCATCAGCCTCTTCTGCCACAGCAGCCTCCTCGGCTACATCAGCATCCTCTTCTGTGTTTGCCTCATTTGCTGCATCAGCCTCTTCTGGCACAGCAGCCTCCTCTGCTACACAGGCATCCTCTATTGCATTCCCCTCCTTTGCTGCATCACCCTCTTCCACAACCACCACATTTTTCACAACATTAGTGTTCTCTCTTACAATATGTTGCACTTAGTCACCATTCTGCAACTCCATGTTTCTGAATTCAGCCCCCAAAGCCTCTTCCAATGCACTGTGGGCTTTTTTCAAGTCAGCAAGCACGGTCTTGAAGGCTTTCAAATGCCGATACCTGACAGCCTCATCTCCCTGCTCCTCAGCTGTCTGCTGTATGAACTGAATGAATGTATTGTTGAGACCAGTAGTTGTTTCAACAAGCTTTTTTGTTTTCTTTATAAGTTCTTTGGGTACTTGCACTTTTCTGTAGGAGAATGTCATGGTCCCTGAGCCTTCAGTATGTTCTTTCCCATTCACAACTACTTTGTGCTCTTTGACAGCTTTGATCTTGTGTATCTTGCTCTCACGTTCATAGCATATGTCCAATTTTCGTTGCTTGAATTGCAGTTCTTGTTTTTCCATGATGTGGTGGTATTTAGAGACCAGATCCTGGAGAGGCTCTGATCTGCAGACATAGCAGTGCCACTTTGAGTTCTCATCAGTAATGACTGAAAGCTCCTTCCTGCCCAGGTTGCGCAGAATGCACTTTTTGCAGAAGGCATTGTTGCAGTAGTCACAGCAGATGAGATTGCCACCTTCAGCACACCATCTGGGAAAGAAAGCGTGACTAAGTTTTAGGGTATAAAGCAAGTGAGGTCTTCACTTACATATTTATCCAAAATGAACATTACTTAGTTAAGGACTGAGACCAAAACAAATCTACAAAAGACTGGTCATAAATAAATACACAAAATAATGAAAAAGTGTAAGAAATAAGTTTTCAATATCTCAGTAGATGTTGCTTCCAACAGGGTGTTCGAATCATAGGCCACCCGTGTCATACACACACTTACAACAAAAAACAACCTTTCATGTGAATGTCATGTCATCATGGTTGAATAAATGCAACATTATGTTCATTTGAGATCCACAGCCAAGCCTTCAATGTTAGACTTAATATCTTATTACTGATATTGTGCATCCTCTGGTCATTTTATTTCAACAAACAAATCATAATATTTTGTGGTTCTTTTATAATATCCTTTACCTGCACTGCTCATCCATCCCATCAGAGTCTCTGGTGAAGTCATCACTTGTGTAATACTTGTAGCATGACTTGAGAAAGAGAAGATCGTGTGATCATACATCAAGAATCGAAAGACTGAAAATTGTCAGCATGAACTTCCTATAATGGCTATGAAAATATGTGAAATGTATTTTGAACCTCCCTACCTTGCAAATAAGTACTTTGAGGACAGGATGCTCGTACACAGAGTTGCGTTGAAACTGATTTACTTTTTTTCCACAGGCAGTGCAGTTCACTTTCTTCTGTAGGGTGTCATCTGTGATACAGAGAAAAGACATCAATAATTAATACTTTGTTCATTTAACTTTTTTCCAATCACTAAATTCTTTATTTTCATTCCCAGATGGTGTCAGCACATGCCTAATCACAGACAAAATAGCTCTGCGTCTTTCTGGAAGATTACTGACTGAACACCCCCCCTTAACTCCACTAACAGCCAGGCAAACAAACTGAATGAGTTCTGCTGTCAAGTTGATAGACAACGGGACCATTCTGACCCCATACCCCCTGACTCCATCTGTCAGCTCAAGCCCTTAAACTCCACCTCTGCCACTTAAGCAGGGGCCTGGGGCTCCCTACGACTGCCCATCCCAGGGCGCCCTTTCCCATGCCACAGTGACAACCTGCTCTATTCCGGAGAGGGACAGAGTCTTCAAAAGCAGAACCCCCCACAGCTGTAACAGATGCCATCTCTCCACTTATCCTGAAGTTCTGTGTTGAACAGCTGTCTCTAGTGTTTACAGATATTATTAATGCCTTAATTGGAGAAATACCACATACCAGCCTACATCAGGAACTCTACCATCATCTTTGTACTCAAAAAAAAAAACAAGGACCACAGGACTTAACAACTACAGGCCCATCAACCTGACCACTGTGATTACTGGGTCTTTGGAGCACCTTGTCCTACATCCCCTGCAGTTCAGCTACAGAGGCAACAGGTCTTGAGACAATACAGCCAACATGGCACTACATTTCATGCTCTAGCACCTGGACTACTTATGAACCCATGTCAGGATCTTGTTTGTGGACTTCAGCGCAAAACAATAAACAATAAAACCCCTCTCTGCTGCAGGACAAGCCCTTCCAGCTGTACGTGCCTGACTGCTTCAACACTTCCAACATCATGCTTGTCCTCAAAAAAATAAAAAGCTTTTTAAATCAGACCCGGGCCCAAAACTGCTGCCAGAGATGAGGCTCAGGTTGGGCTTGGACAGAAATTGTGTGGGTTCATATAGGGTCGGGCCTGTTTTTTCTAGAGCCTGATCAGAGCTCTAATCCTCACCTCCTGATTTGCTGATGCCACCACGTAGGACAAGGCCAAACTACAGTATTTCATTCACTCTGTGGAGAGGGTGATTGGCTGCAATCTGCCATCCCTCCAGGACTTGTACGCCTCCTGAACCCACCAAGCTCAAAATCTCTTGAAAGACACTCCACTCTGGCAGGAGGCTGCAGTCCATCAGGAAAACCACACACACACAACAAAAACAGTGTCTTCCCATCTGCAGCTTGTCTCATCAACAAGGGCCAGGTCCCCCACTGACACCAACACGTTAATCTTATCATCTACCCATGTGTTAGACTAATGCAAATCTTTTTGAACAACTATAGCAGTACACTGCATATTCTTTACTTTAAACCACTGAAGATTCTCTATAGAATGTATTTTTATACATTCCTGCCCAGCTCGCCAATTTTAAACAGTTACACTTTACACCAAAGCAGATTCCTTATGCAAACCAATTTGGCAATAAACCTGACCGACAAGTACTTTCATAGTTCATACCTTTAGAGCCGCTGCTTGTGTTGTTGTCTGCAGGGTTGTCAGAGGTGGCACCTTCATTTTCACTCTCGCCTGAAGTGACAGATTGATTCAGTCCAGTGATCTTAGCTAGAATGGTGGACTCCCTAAAATGAATTGGCACATAGGTTAAATATTTCAAGCTCTGTCTGTGAGAACTCTTGAGAATGTACATCTGCAAATAAAACAATAGCATTCACATTTAAGAAAGCTGCTTCTCACCTGTTGCAAGAGGGCTTCATAGTTTCTGCTGAGCTATCAGGCTGACAAGGATAAAAGATTTATTTTAATATGTTGACAATTAAAACCAAAGTAGTGAATTTATCCCTGAAATCATTAGGGTTTTTTTTTCCAGTATCATAAACATAGAGGTCCAAACACATTATTTGACGGCTCCAGAGGCTGCATACTTACCTCCACTGCTTTTTCTGACATCGGGTCAAGGTGCGATTCAGGAGAAGCCAGACTCATTTTACCTGGAGAGATTTTTGTTTTCCAGTGAACACAAAAGTAAATTAAGATACTGTGCAATGTTGTATCTGAATCACAGAGATCTGAGTTAGTAAATATGTGTAGATATGCTTTTCCAGCGATATAAGCCCAAAAACAAGCATGCATGTGTTTTCAACTCCAGATACGGGTACTTGATATCACAACTCCACCTCTAGCCTGGTTCCAGACCATAGACCCCGCCCACTCAACTGAGTAGGCTTGCATTACTGGTCTGGCATACTTCAATGAATTTGCGATTTATCTCGTCCAAACGATGGACGGACCAATGAACGCTGGGGGTCTAGCGATTAGCCAATCAGCGCCACGCTGATGTCAAGCTGTATGCCGGTGGGTAACTGGTGAGAATAGCAACAATGGCGACCGCTACAGATCCTACAGACCACATTAACGATGCTATCGAGGTATTTCGCCACTACTCACATTAATGGAGGGCCAAATTAAGGAAGCTGCTAAACTGGATTTAACGGCGATGCAGCTGAGCGTGCACTACGACGGAGACATTTTAAACGGGCAATGCTCGCTTGTTTTCGGCACACCCGAGGCATGGATACTAATGACGTCAGATTCTGGGTGAGCCGTTGATCTCTACTGATTGGTTAGGGAAAAAAAAATCAAATTCCCTCCCCCTTGTAAATCGCCTTCAATGGAGGCCATGTCAGACTGAAGGTTCTGGGAGCTTCAGTCTGACACTCAGGCTACTCCACCTCCACTTTCTGTCATTGTTTCAGTTTATGTTTTCACCAAGGTCCAAAATTAACTCTGGTCTATCTGCCAGTGGCTGCTAAACTGATAAAAATACAAGCCAAAATACTTATCAACCAACCAAAAACCTGCATAATATGAAAAAACAAACAAACAATTGAGCAGGTTTTGTTTGCAGTGGTGGAAAGTAACAGTATATTTGCTCAAGTACTGAAGTACATTGGTACAAAGTTGAGGTACTCTGAAATCCTATGCTACTTTATACATCCACTCAACTACATCACGAATGTATATTTTAATGTCAGTACGTTTAACTGACAGCTTCAATTACTTCTAAGATTACGGTTTTTCAGCCCCTTCCTGTACAGTGAAAACCACAAATCTTCAGATGTGATGTTGATTTTGAATGTTTGCGATTAACTGAAGGATGAAGTCTATTCCGTATGAGTGGAGAAAATTCTCCTACCCTCCTAAGCTAAATAAACTCTTAAAAACCTTCTTGGATCGGCTGGAAAACGCATCATCACGAAGCTGAAAAAGGCTGTTTTTCTGAGCTCATTAAACTTGACTTTAGAGTGTAATGGAAAACTACTGTATACCAGCAACCTATAACTTCATGTAACCTCTGCTCTGTTTCTTTACTAAGTTGTTTACTAGTGGAATACTCCAGTAACTGCCTCCATGACTGTTCTCATGTAATCCAAAATCATGTAGGGCTTGTTATGTTCTTTCTGTGTCTAGGTTATGTTGACCTGCTAACTACAGAGCTGGTCAATCTAAGGAATTCTCTGCAGAAGTATTTAAAAGGGTTGTATAAAATAAATTCAGTTATGGAAAACGTATAAAGAAAGAATAGACTATATGAAGTTGTTGGGACGGATTTTATTGTGTGTGGCTATTGATTCTTCTGTATGAACTTTTTTTTCTGAAGTAGTGATGCATGATAACATCGGTACGTCATCTGTATTGGCCAATATTGGTTTTAAAATCAAATATCAGAATTGGCCCACGTGCTTTTTCTTGTTTTGCATACTGAATAAACATCACATACACTCAAAAGTACTGTATTTCATGTCTCCATCTGCTGGTGGGTCTTCATGATTAGAGCATGCATGCATAATATGTTGTTAATTCCACCACAGAAGAGGCTTTTGACATATCAATGTCGGTTATCAGTCAAATTAGTTGTCACACATCAGCATATTAGATATCGGCAAAAGATCCAATATCATGCATCTCTATTCTGAACTAGCATTGGTTGTTTGGTAACTGTAACTGTCAGACCATCTTTATTTTTGTATATCTGTGTTTTGAGAAAAGGGGCAGGTAAAAAAAGATTCACATAAAAAATTAAGTTAATGAATTATAATGCATTGCTGTAGATTAATGTTATATTACGTGACAATTCATCTCAGGCGATGTTGCAGAGTAGCGCAGGAGTTATATAACGAGTGATGTAACTAATTACTTTTAACATAGAGCGAATGAATACAGTACTGCATTATATTCCAACTAATGAGTAATGTGTACTACAGTACTTTTACCTCAACACTAACAACACAGATCTCCTGACAATGAAGGTTTTAGACGATCGAGATGAGCCTCGGTAACAGTTGCAGGTTTGGTGGACGCCATTGACGCAGAGCTAACGTTACTACTCCACGAGGTCCAGTGCACGCGCAAGCCCTCCCTCCCTATGACGATAACGTTACCATGGTGCTCACAAGTAGTATCCAAACCATCAATGTAACGTTAACCTTTAGCTAGCTAGATACAAGGCACGTATTTACACCTTTACAAACAAGCGCATTTTTATATTTTAATTTCTTTGACGTGGATTACATAATGCGCACGTGCACACCTGAATCTGCGTGTGTACGAATTTAAACACTGTGCAGCTAAAAGCTAAAACCTAGCTAGCATAACTTGCTAGCGCGACTCGTCGTTGGTGAAGGCGGCACAGTATTTGTTGCACAACAAACATGTCTATACAAACAAGCTAAACAGTTTTCCTACCTGCTTGGCTGGTAGACACACGTTTAGGTTTTGGTACAGGTGACCCAGTTTAGTCCAATTTGCAGAGTTTCGATGGAGCAGAAATAGGTATAACAGCAGAATTTAGAAACAAACTCGCTCAATGGAAACAAAGGTACGCAGCTTCCCGGTGGAGGGTTCTCTGACCCGCCTTACTCGCCACCTGATTGGCTATTATATGTTGTCTTCGTTGGTTGATTGGTTAGTTTAAGCCAATCAACGGCCGAGTAGGGCAGAAGATGGCGGATTATCTCTTTGCCTTTACTTTCGCTGTATTCTGTACTTTGTGTACCCTTTCCTCAGAGGGTGAAGCATTCACCATTTGTTTATTTAAATGGCCACTTGTGAATTAGTTTTGGTCTGATATTTAGTCATGGTTACAGTCATATAGTTTATTTTGTGGACAACCTTGTGTTAATTGCCTTTATTTAACCAGGTTTGTCCCATTGAGATCAACACAATTTCAACAACAAATAAAATTCACATAAAAGCATACATTTGAATAACATATAATGATTAGATAAAACAATTACACACAGACAGCCTGGACTCATTGGGTTTCACTATGGGTTTAAACTCATTCAGGGTCATCATGTGTTGAAGCTTTATATCATTTTACAGTTGTTCCATACTGTGGGTGCAGAGAACCTCAAGTTTTTCCCCCAATTCAGTTCTGACTTTGGGCACAATAAGACTATATAACTTCCATATTTCATATTCAAGAGAGAAGATAAGTAGGAAGGAATTTTACCAAAAACAGCTTTGTAAATAAAAGCACACCAGTGACTGAGGCAGCGTGTACATAAAGCAGGCTGATCCACTTTTGAGTATAAAACACAATGGTGAGTAAGAGATCCACAGTTTGTAATTAATCTCAGAGCCCCAAGATACACCAGCATTCAGAGAAAATAATGGATGCAGACATTTCAGATAATGTTGATCTTGTGATTATTTTGGGCAAATATCACATTCATACTTGCAAGTGGAAATGTGTGCTCCCTCTTTCACTGTCTTCATAAATAACTCTGCCAACTAGGCTACTCCTAAAATACATGGAAAAAATGAATAGTAAAGCTAAAAAACATAATAGCCTGTAGGTCCTTGCCCTTTGAATGTCTCTTGATTTGCTCTTTTGTGTTCCTTATTCATTTACCTGATTGTTTTTCCTTTTTTTTTGTTTAAAATATAAATGTTCTTGGAGCCAAAACGCATGCTAAAGTGCCCTCTTGGGAGCCAAAACACACGCTAAAGTGCCCTTCTGGTTGGCAAAACACACTAAACTGCCTTCTTGGGTGGAAAAAAAACACACTAAACTGCTTTCTTGGGTGGAAAAAACACACTAAACTGCCCTATTGGCTGGTTAAAACAGGACCCCCAGACCCCCCCACGGGTTTTATTTCCTTCATACATCCATGTCTCTGTGTTCTTCACAGTCCAACCTTGATTCTACACAGTTCTCGTGGATACTGATCCTACCTACAAACTAACTTGAGTAGTCTGTCTAGTTAGTCTGTTTTAAGGCTATATAATGTGCCATTTGTATAACATATAAACATGTCTAAAGTGCCCTCGAAAACACGCAGAACTTAGTGCTCTCTTCAGTGGCAACAACGTGCTGTATGTGCCCTTTTTTTTCTTTTCGCCCCTGCCCTTCAAAAAGTCTGTGCATGCCACTGTTCTCTCTTGATTTTAAGATAATGTTTCCTCTCTTGGTCTTTTTTGTATTAAATTGTGCTGTAGCATCATTTCCACCATTGCTGATAAATTCTATCTTTTGTCTCTGTACATCTGTCCCCTGGCTTGTTCTGTATATTTTCCTGTGTTCAACTTTTTTTTTTTTTTTTTTTTTTTAAAGTGTAGCGTAGGGAGTAGGGCAGTGGGCATCCTTGAAGTTGCATTACTGCCGCCTTCTGGTTGTAATCTTCCTTTCTATTCTATGCTATTACAGCCTTGTGATTAGTCTAGTTGTTTTCAAAAACCTAAATATCCTCTCTCCACCATGTCCCCATGCTCAAGCACTTCTTTAATCTCAGCCTCAACTCGTCCAAGCCTACGTAGCATGGATGTATAAGAGACAGCTTGTCTTTCCTCTTCATAAAATCAGGACATGCACCGCTGTCCCCTTTTAATTATACTGATTACAGTGACCAGTTGTGTTTCCCTATGACAGCAAGTGTGCTATAGGTGCTGTACAATCTATTTAATTAATCCAATTAATCTAATCACAATTACTTGCTCTTTTCTTTTGGATCCTCCTACTTTAATCTGTACTTGTCCTCATTTTGTCACACAATTCTAATACAGCTGCCACTATTTGATTATTTTCTTCCAAACTATGCTTTGCTGCAGTCTGTATTTCCAGTGTATTCATTTGTTGATACAATGAAAGGCATGTGCGTTTTTTTTCTTTTCTCTTATCCAACATAATGTAGCAATATTAATAGATAGATAAACAACAACAACATCACACAACACAGTAATAAGTTGTGGAAGAAGTATTAATTAATGGAAGTACCAACACAATGATATAATGAAAATACATGGTTACACACACACACACACACACACACGTATAAATATATACCATATACCCTCAATGTCTCTAAATACATATATCACATATTTATATTTGCAGAATTCGAGCAACCACAGACGTTGGCACATACGAATTGCATTTTCTCTCTTATCATTATCATCATTATCATTACATCATTACGTTTGTTTGAGTGTTTTCCCTTACCTTATCTTAAATGGTGGAAATGTTGAGATCGTTAAAGTTTTAGTTGTTGCGTAGTAAAGTTGCCCACTGTGGTGATTTCATCATGTCAGTCGGAACAAATGAAAACATTTTCCTAAACTTTTCTGAACCTTTCTCTGACGTTGTGGTTCTCATAATTCATAGATAGATAGATAGATAGATATCACTGGATAGGAAACTGTTAACGAACACTAATGAACATTCCCACAGGAAATACAAAGGGACACATTTTGAATGTCAAGTTTGAAGCGGTCTGTACATTTGTATGAAAATTTGTATTTTGACGTTTGAGAACTTTCCAACTGCACACAAGTAAAGGAAGATGATTATTAGGAGCACCTCTGCCTGTCCTGTGGTTTCTCTTCAAAGAAACTGCGCTGATGTGAATACTGTGAATCCTACAAGTTACATACATCACCAGAAGATGGGGCTCTTCTTCAAAGGTTGTCAGTGTAAAAGGTAGAGATGTCAATGTGTTGCAAATGTGCAAAGATATGAACTCAAGTTCAGCTAAAACTTCCAGTTAGTCTTTTATTCTGGAATCTTGTTAACCATAGTGTTCCAGCTGAGCTCCTGACTTTGTCTGTTTGATCAGACAATTGACCAAATATGTTACTAGCTCTATTAAGTACTCCTCCACTGGTCTGTCTTTGAAATTATCGGCATATGAGCAGATTTCAGGGGGGATGAAGGGGACACATCCCCCTCGATATTTAGAACATGTGCATTTGTCCCCCCCAATAGATACATAAAGGTGGCAGAGAACTTTTATTTCAACAAAACAGACATTTACGCCATAAACTAATGCAGAAAATATTCAAGTTGGTGCATGAAAATACACCAGTATAAAGGAAATTAAGTGTCTGACACTTGAAATTTTCTGGCGGAGGACCCCCAAACAACCAAACCACCATTTCATCATTTCAAGACTGGGTCATTCTCAAGCAAGGATGGCACAAGGTTCATCACTTTGTGAAAAAAATGTGTGGGCAAAGAGTCCAACAGTTTAAGAACAACATTTCTCAGAACAGAATTGCAAAGAATT